GATTTTGGGGAGCAAAGTATACCTTTATTACAACATTTCAACTAGCTATTCACAGATCTTACATGTCTTTGGAGACATAGAAGTTAAATACGTTTTTTGCTTTAAAAATTTGGCAAAAAAAAAAAAAATCCCAACCAACCAGCGACACCTGATGCAAATAATTATTCAAACATTATAGAGAAGGGGGCTTGAGCTGTGTTTTGGGAGTTGCTCACTCCAGAGATGGGCTGGTTGTGGAGGTATCTTCACTATCCCTTTAGTTTCTCTGCTTTTGCCTTCTGGAACATTCACGCAGCGGTCCTGCTTTATTCAGATATCTCATTCTTTTTATTCTCCACAGCATATTGGATTCTCTGTGGAGCCAGAAGCTGGACTTGAAGATCCTTTGGATCCCTTCCAACTTGGGATATTCTACGACTCCATGATCTGTGATGATTATAGGGGAGGGACTCTTTATACAGGCATTTAGCAACAGGACAGGGGAAATGGCTTTAAACTGGTAGAGGGGAGATTTAGACTAGATATTAGGAAGAAATTCTTTACTGTGAGGGCAGTGAGATACTGGAACAGGTTGCCCAGATAGGCTGTGGATGCCCCTTCCCTGGAAGCAATTAAGGCCAGGCTGGATGGGGCTGTGAGCAACCTGTCTAGAGGGAGGTGTAGCAGGGGATTTGGAACCAGATGATCTTAAATGCCCTTTCCAACCCAAGCCATTCTATGATCTCACTGCTTTCTGCTGGCATAGAGATATTCTCACATGCAAGACAAGCTGCATTTCAGATGGGTGGAGAAGGTAAGGCATGAAGTGGCACAGCAGGGGGGAATATGAAGAGTGCATTTCACCTGGCCTATCTACCTACAGATCTACAGACCTACCTACATCTATCTACAGGTGGGATGTGGGCCAGGCTGTAAGCAGCCTTACTCCCGGCTTTGAGCTCTGTGCTCTGACCCACCAATCAGTTTATTTTGAATACAGTGATGTCATGAGCTTGAGTTTGCCAATACTGACCCCAGTCCTACATCTTAGATGAAAAAATCACAACTGTTCCCAGCTGGTGGTTTAACAAAAATACATCAGTGTTGAAGGGCATGGGAACCTGCTCCCAGAGGCTGCTTACTCCCAGAGAGCTCTTCATTCTTTTTATGACCAAAACACAGCTCACAAAAAATTCAACTCTGCTACTTCCAGAATTGAGTATTTGGGAATGTAATATCAAGACTTTGAAGAGATGCTACAGCTTAACTAAAATAAATTTTATTCTGAAACAACCAGCTGCAATGTTTAGACCTCTGTTGTACAAGAAAGAATTTTCCTTTGGCTCTTTCCTATAAAAATCCACAACTTGCAGTTTTGAACACTCTTATACAAGAGAAATATTAAATTGTATCTAGAGAGGAGTGAAGGGTGCACACAAATCCTGCTGAACTTGCTATGGGCTTCCCATAGCTGCTAAGCTTATCTTTCTCTTGACTTCCCCATAAATGGTTAATTCCCTACCTTGGATAATCCATTACTACAGACGCTAACACCTGTGAGAATGGGTTGGTTCTACCCAAAACTAGACACCCTAAATAAGAACTTCTGATAAGGAAATATTTGCATCTCTATAGGAGAGCTGCATCGATCCCTCCAAGGACTGTAAATCAGGATGGTCAGGCTCTGACACCTCCAACGCTGTTTGTCCGATAAATGCCTGTTTAGGTGTAGTTAAAAATCACTGCTCATCAGATTCTCATCAGATCTAACTCTAAAGTTGTCAGTAACTTAAATATTTTGGTGAAAGACCAAGACAGACGCAGGAGACTTCGCTTTGGCTATTTAGGAATCTTCTGTCTGCTAGTCCAAAATTGCTCATGACTGATCTCATAACTTGTGCTGCTTTTCTCTGTCAAACTTCTTAAATTGACTGAAATGGATATTTACAAGACAGATATTTATAACTCAATGAAAAAGCACACAATACGTAACATGAGAATGAATGCTGCTGACAAGAACTGATATGCTTGTCCCAGACATCATATCATATAGAACTGAATGTGTGTGATGTATGAAAGGTCAAAAACCTTAAAATAGCTGATGTCCAAAAGCTCATCATCTCCCTCAAATTCTAGTGCAGATAATGTCACCATTAAATTACTGCTGCACTAATTCCTTCTTTTCCAATACATCACGACATTCTGATGCCAAATAATTTTTGATGTCCTTGTAACCAAATTGTGGAGGAAGGCTGGATGTCACACATTTTTATTGAAATATTTCGGTTTAACGCAAGTGACAACTGCATTATTTCTCCAGCTTACTCCACTATTAACAAGATACACGAGAAAGAAACTTCCATGCACCTTCTCTTAGAAGCTCCAGATGATCTGTCATCTGTGATTCATTAACTGAATATTTACTTCCTCAGGAGCAATGTAGCTGTCGTTAACTCTCTTAAGCAGTAAGTCTTTCTCAAAGAGCCTGTACCTGCTTCCTTCCCAACCACAGGACAGACAGTGGACAGTCTAGCACATATCTCATGGAGAGCAGGCTCCAGGGTTCAGTGCCTTTTGCTTTGGACATTGCAAATCTAGGCTTCAAATATCTGTTCTGTCACATGGACACACACAGGCAACGCAGCAAGTGCAATCACTTCTTTTTTCTTGATAAAACTCTTTTTCTTGACTGTCAAATCGTAGAATCACAAGGCTGGAAACAACCTGCAAGATCATCTAGTCCAACCGTGCTCCCATTACTATTGCTATCACAAACTACTAAAGCATACCTCATAGTTCCTCATCCAGACACTAGGCAGTAAAGAATGGTAGGATGCCACAATCACTTGTGGCCAGACACTGCCCCAGCACAAAAGGAGTGAGCAATGAGGAAAAGAGAAAGTTGTGCCTTTTTCTCCCTAGCATGATTTCCACCTCTTGCGTAGAAATGGCTCTAAAAGATGTTCTCAGATCAGGTAAGATCTCTCTGATCACAGCTGCAAAAACACCTGTGCACCCAGACCATGGGCTTGCTCCACCCTGAATACTGAGTAGCATTGCTGCAGAAACTGACACATTTCATTACTTCAGTTTGGATGATGCTCCATTTGTACTGCACACACCAAGCTGTTTTAATTAGATGGTTCTCCTGTACCATCACTGCCACGTAGCAAAGATCACGCTTGTCAGAGTGGAGTACGTTACATTTCTAGGTGTGTTATTATTTCCATATATTCGCCCAAAATGCAAGTTGGAAGCATGGCAGCCACCAGCTGAACACTAAGAAGCAAAGGATATACACTGTTTTCAAGACAGTGGAACTCAGCAGCTTCTTCATCAGTAAGGTAAGCTTTCCCCTGTGGAAGCTGTCACACCCCCTCTGGCTCAGCTCTGCCACTCGGCCACTAAGGGACACCAGCTGGGTGTCTGGTGGGGCTGCTGACACAAGTTGGTGGCACAGCATCCCCTTTGAGGTCTGTCTTTTGACACGCAGGCAAAATCTTCCCCCTGGTCTTCTTGCAAAGGGAAATATTAGAATATATATTAGACACTGGCAACTTAAGAGCTAACTTACTTTTCCTTTTCCAAGGTTAGCACACTTTCAGCTCACTGCTGCCAGCCTGGCTGAAGGCACACGCTGCGTACACAGCCCATCTCACCACCAGACATAAACCTGCTTCAGCAAACTCCAGATACTGAAATGCCACCCAGCGACCACAGAAAGAAAATGCAGCAGGTTGGGCCGCAGGCTTGCTTCACCTGGGATTCACCGCACCCAATTCCAGCTGTGTCAACATTAAATACTTAGAGACCATAAGTGGCACAGAACAGTCATCAGGAAAGCATCAGCAGCCTGAGGAAAGGCCACAGTGCTGTCCTGCAGAACCTGGGATGTGTCACCTGGCCTCCACGTACTGCTCCAGGCCAGAGGCCTCCTCTCAACACTGGCTCCTATCTGCTAGGCCCTACAGATACCACAGACTGCATACGGTGCCTTTTGACAGGACCCCAGGAAATCTTTTACACAAACTATATAGCCAGCTACATCTAGGAGCTAAATTCCACCCTAGGCCAAAAGCTCTGCAGTTTTGGAACATTCACCTGTAGATTCAATAGGACAAGAGGCAACAGCTTAAGTCACGGCAGGGGAGGTTCTGGTTGAAAATAAGGAACCATTTCCTCTCACGAGGTGGTGAGGCAGTGGTACAGGCTGCCCAGGGGGGTGGTGGAGTCACAGACCCTGGAGGTGTTCAGGAAACACGGAGATGTGGCACTGAGAGATGTGGTTAGTGGGCATGGTGGGGATGGGTTGATAGTTGGACAAATGATCTCAGAGGTCTTTTCAACATTAATGATTCTGTAAGTTTTACTTGCCATTTGTTTTATAACTGCACATAGTTAACTTATGACACAGGTAGCAGTGGGTGGCATTTAGCTCCAGAATGTAGGCATCAAAAGTTAGGTACAGAGAACTACTTCACCCAGACGGCCTCTCCTAGGTATCCACTGCCACCAGACTTTTCCTCACCTGGTCTTTAGTTTTCTGTCCAGCTTCTGATGTACAGATATCTACAGATGCACCAACTGAGGTGCCTTCATCTATCACCAGAATCTAACCCAAACTGTAAAGCAAGAGATAACTAAGCCTAAATGCTTTTCACAAAAACATCAGTATCTTTTTACCCTCCCAAGCACCAAACACTCAGTAAAAAGGTGATGTCTGTTGCTTTAGTATGAGCTGAATGTTTTGCTGTTGCTGAATAAAATGGAGTGAGATTTTTTATTAAACATTTCACTCAAATGAACTACACCAAAAGCACAGGGTCTGTGTCATTTGATTATCAGTATCTTCAGGAATTGACATGTTTACTCATTATCATAAAATTTTGTCATTAAAGAAATCATTGGGTAAAGAAAATTAAGTAAGTTTAAGCACTAGAAGAAATTTGAGCTTAAAAAATAAATAAATTGAGAGCCAACTCTTCAGCTGCTGAAAACTTTATTCAGTTACTTTGCACACCTGAACTGTGAAGATTTATACAAAAAAAGATCCTTACATTATTTTACTGATGTTAAAATTGCAGCTTCAAGTATTTTAATCATTTTACTCAAAATATAAAGACAGGGAAGAAAATTACCAATGAATCTCCTGAAAGCATCTAACCTTATGAAGACTATATCATTACTGTTGCAATGAGGATTGGCTAAAGCCTTAAACTGTTTTATGAAATGCCACTTGTATTCAAATCTTTCTGCATAAATGTGTCCCATCTCAGAGAGAACTTCGCCAAGAAGTGAACTTCAATTCAAACTTCTTTTTGCTGTCTCATCCAGAAGAAATAAAATCAGTTCTTATGGAACAGAGTACTGATTTTGTCTCCACCTAGTAGGAGCGCACCAAACAGCAAGCTACTGAGAGAAAAAATTACAAACACACATATACAAGCCGCCCTTACAAATAAAATAGAAAATAAAATACTTATTCTCTGCTGCAGCCCCAGCTGCAACAAAGAATGCAGCAATATGAAGAGACAAACATTAGCTGGAATGTAAGACGCAAATGCCTCCAGTGAACAAATAAGGTCCATCAGCACGTGGAAGGTGTGTGCACATAACATGTCTTACAGCACCAGATCCCATGAGATCCCATGCTCCTGCAAGACACCGAGGGTTCCTGGCACTGAGATGTGGGAACCAGCAGCCCTCAGATGGCACCTTGCAGATGTAGGTTCCTAATGAAATATAAAGCACATCTACTCCATTTAGTGACCTGAGTACTTTCTTTGGCTTAGTTTTTCTCCCCAAGCATTTGCTGCTAAGCTAATTAAGCATTTAAAAATAACAGTCTCTCACCTTGTAGAGACTCCACATAAATATTACTCTGTCTTCTTCAAGGGCCAGATTCTCTGCAGGAGAAAATCGATATAGTTTCACTGACTGAGGATCTGGCCTTAAAAAGTTTATTCAGTGCATTAAAAACAGCCCAGTACAACATACGCTCTGGCAGTAGAACAGTTCTCCAGATTAATATTTGAAGGAAATTTTGGCAATAAAATAAAAGCTCTGTTTTGAAATGCTGCCATTTTTCAATCAGTGCTGACCACCACGGATTCTCCTCTCGTAAACTGTACGGTTAGAGCTGGCGTTTCGCTGTCATTTTCATCAAGCTTCAGAGCAGCATTGTCCAAGCCAGCACTGCGTGGCTGTGGCACGGTGGTGGGCTCTGCAGTCTGAGTTGGAGTTGAGCAATACAGGATGAAGCCCACCATGATGATGACAAAGGACAGGATATAAAGACCTGAAAACTGGCAGAGGAAAAAGATGTGTTAAGTCTTTTGTCATGCAAAAAGGTGCAAACACTACCTTCTTTTAAGAAGGCAAAAGCCACCCTTTCTCTTAGACATATGTTAATATGCTTGATCATCATGCTCTATACTCAAGTCTGGAAATCAAAATTCACCAACTCTATTTACCAATAAGCTGCTGTTTTCCTCTGCACCTCCTCCTCAGTACTGTTGGGCAGGGAATATCTATGATTTTCAACAGAAAGAACAAATGGCCCTAACTGTGGTGATACCTAAGGGAAGCTTTTATACATGTGAAGGCTAAAACACTGCTCTCCAGAGAATTTCAGTTATCACAAGTATTTTACCTCCTGGCAAGAAATGAACCTCTCCCTCCTGCAATTCACCAAAGCATCTGGCTCTCTGCACAGCTCAACCATCTGCAGAGCCAAGTAAGTGGAACCAAAACTGGTTTCCTCCCTACATTCAGCAAGTCCTTGAAGAGAGGATGACTGTGGCACCTTCTACAAGGTGGGTGCCTGGGTGCCTTACTGCAAGTGAAGAGTTAGTGTGTGAGGTAAGGTCACAAACTGCTGAGGTACGTCACACATTTGATTCACTATCACTCACTTGCCTGTTCAAAGTCTAACAACTGCCAAGATTCATCTATCTTGAAAGGAAAATAAATGCTTTCTTCATATATCAGATTCAATAATACAAAGTGCTGAAGTTATACGCAGCCAAGAACACTTTTTCATCAAGTTTGTTAAGATCTTCTGCATTGCCATTGCCAAACCACAGATTAAGAAGTGGGACGATGGACATAGCGCATCTTCAGAGAACTACAGAATTGTAGCAGTTGGAAGGGACCTCTGGAGATCATCTAGTCCAACTCCCTGCTAAAGCAGGTTCCCTACGGTAGGTTGCAATACTTTCTACTTTCAACACAGCCTGCCAAACTCCAAAACGTACCCAAATCATAGAATCATAGAATCACAAGGTTGGAAACGACCTACAAGATCATCTAGTCCAACCATCTCCTCATCACCATTGCCACCACAAGCACTAAACCACATCACACAGCACGTCGTCCAGATGCCTCTTGAACACTGCCAGGGACAGTGCCTCCACCACCTCCCTGGGCAGCCATTCCAGTGCCTGACCACTCTCTGAGAGAAAAGGTTCTTCCTTATGTCCAACCTAAACCTCCTCTGGTACAACTTGTGGCCACTTCCCCATGTCCTGCTTGTTGCCTGGGAGAAGAGGCCAAATCCCTCTTCACCACAACCTCCCTTCAGGAAGTTGTAGAGTGCAATGAGGTCTCCCCTGAGCCTCCTCTTCTCCAGACTGAACAATCCCAGCTCCCTCAGCCGCTCCTCATAAGACTTGTGCTTCAGACCCCTCACCAGTTTTGTTGCCCTTCTCTGGACACATTCCAGGGCCTCAATGTCTTTCCTGTAGTGAGGAACCCAAGACTGAACACATATACTGGAGGTGTGGCCTCACCAGTGCTGAATAAAGGGGGATGATTACCTTACTGCTCCTGCTGGCCACATTATTTCTAATGCAGGCCAGGAATCTCATCAGCTTCCTAAGATTTCCTTGAAAAATATGTTATATTAGTCAAGCAGCAAAGCTGGATGAAATGAATGGAGCTGAAATAGCAGAAGATTGATCCAAAAGAGACAGAGGGAACCAAAATTAAGTCACTCCAAATCCTAGCTGGTAATCACTTGGCTAGGGAATCCCTGGAAATCACCACACAAACGGAAAAGCAAGCTAAAGCACGCCAACCTTGTGATATCTGCTCTTCTCCTTCAGTCTGTGTCACAGCACCTGCAGAGCTTTTCCAGAGTAGAATCTAAGGATGTGACTGAATGTCACCATACGCTTCTGCTGGGAAATTCACAGTCACTGCCAGACCCCTCTCACAGCGTGCACAAAGAAGTGGCTGCACTTGATGCTGATGATTCCAGAGACTGTTGAGAATTAACCCATCCTTGAGCAGATTCTGATTTTAGTCCATACAGGTCATATCTCCTTATTCAATACCAAGCTGAAAGAATACTTGAGGTATTACCGGAGGACTGTAACTCCATCTAGCGTCTGCATTTTCAGTATACTCTCTGTAAAGGAGTTTATTCAACATAAATGTTTGAAGGCCACAGGTAACATCTCTTGAGGGCTGTGGCATTATTATCGCTCCCTTTTTTGGCTGCTTCATTGCTTCTAAACACAGGTACAAATTTGTACTTTCCAAAATATATTTTTGGAAGTGACTTTGAAAGGATATTTTTAATTCTTAAAATGTAAGTACAGTTCATTTTCTATACTCATTTACGATGGATGCTCTGTAGTTTTGAGCAGTTTGGAGCAAATTTTGGAACCCAAAACATAGAGGAAAACTGAGGTAAGAGTCTCCTGAAAATTAACATCTAGCTGTCACTGGGTCCTACCATTCCAAAACTGGTTCTCCATAATGCTGAAGAGAAAGTAACCACATATAAATTAAGTAATTTAAGCAAAGTTCACAAGCTTCTCATTGAGCCCCTCTAGTCACTGAGCAACTGATTTAATTACTCCAATCGCTGTAATTTGCTATGTTCCCACAATGATTCTGGATGGAAAGTGTTGGGTGGGATGAAACGTTTTCAGCACTGCCATTAAGCTTGAACAAGCACTACAAAAAGTATTTCAGAGAGCAGAAAATGTAATTACCTTTTGGACAGCAATCAGAATAATACATTTATCTGCTTTTTTTGCTTTTTTTCAATTCCTTTAGTTACTCCTCAGCAGTACTAAGAACTCGAGTCCTCTCCTTGTTATGTTTGTAATGAACACATTACATTTTTAAAAGAAAATGTTGATTTATGGAGATCAAGCCAAACTGCTACTCTTTCAGAACAGTCAGATGCAAACCCTTTCTTTGGATGCTTGCAGAGATGAACCAAATCAACCACAGAGCTCCGCACAGGGAGTACGGCAAAAACTCTACCATTTACCTTGGGAAATTATTATTATCTCTCAATGAATACACAGCCCATGAAGCATGAAATTGTTTCTAAAAAATCACTTAACTGCCTAATGGTGCAATGCTAGGTAATTAACTGTGAGTCCTGACTGACATCTGTCAATGATGACTGATACAGAAATTTACAACTGCAAACAATCGTTCAAGGGCTCATAAAATGTTTTATCTATATTTTTGGAATAAAAACATTAACTATAGTGAGAGAAATTACTTACTTTATAGTAAAACAAGAAGAGTCCAAAGAAAAGACTGTAGAGGTCTGCAGTAAGAATGCCCAAGTTGACCGAGGTTGCACTCGTAACTTTAATCACCACTGGCATGAAGCTGTACAGCCCAAACATACACAGGGCAAATACTATGAACAGTAATGCTGAAAAACAAAATGGCAATTTACTTCTAAGGCAGAGAATAATAATCTTACAGATCACTGACATTCTTCAGATGTTTCAAAACTCTACACGTTTATCTTTCAGAATAAGGACTGCTAAAATATAAGGAAATGCCAATTTAAGAAAAAAGCAACAAAATACTTATTTTCCACGACCACCCACTATTGCAAAGATGATTGTATCTATGCAAGGTTGTGCTTGTTCTTCCCTACTTAACACAGCAGCTGTCTGAAGACATTTAGAATCACATTTCCTAATAACGTGCAGTTCTGTTGAGATCGAAATGAGTCACAAAACCAGTTCTCCCAGTATTTCACGTAGGAAGGACAACAGAAAAATGTTCTTGCAAATTTCCAAGGCCAAACATGTTTGTAATTAAGTGAGTTGGACTTTTATAAGGAAAATGCAAAATCTGAACTCAAATTTCCATGTTCAACGCTGCACACCTTGTGTCTTTGCTGAGTGCTTCAAAGTTTACAGAAAATAAATTTGTGACAATATAATAAGAATGTTGCTTAAAATTCAGAGAAAGAAAACGAAAACATCAGCGTGTCAAATCTAAATGATTATCATTTTTTCAGTGTTCTGAAACGTCCTTTTGCTACACACATACCTATTTTCCAGTTCCACTGAATTTTCATTATATCCTTTTGCTCCAGAATGGCTCTAAAATTACAGAAAAGATATAACAAGTAAAAAAGAAATAAACAAACACACCTACTTGTGTTCAAGTAGAGAAGTTAATGAGCAGAATATATAAGAAACATTTTGATTTGCAATCCTTTAATTTATGTTTAAAATGTTTTTGAATGGCACTAACTCCAACATCTAAAAAGCCTGAAAAAAGACTTGAAAACTAAAGTGCCTGAAAGTGAAGAGCACTTTTATTTAATTCTTATGCCTTCTTCTCAGACTTTTTCATCCTTCAGAGATTTACTTTTATTTCATACACCACTTGAGGAAATCATTAACTATAATGATGAGAAATTAAGAACATAAAATTAATTAGTTAGACTTAAGTGCATGTGGTCTGTTAGGGTTATCTGTAAGAGTATCCATGGCTTTATTTTAAACCAAAGTTTAATACAGAAGACCTCTAACGATTACCTCCTAAATCTTTCCACAGGGAAAAGCCATTAAGAAATACGTTCCTGCAAGCAGTCCTCAGTGTACTGCATGTCCTCATGAAGGTCAACCAAATTCAAAATAAAGCCAAGTATCATACCTATTCAGGTGCAGGAGTTGAGCTTTAGAATTGCTGTAGTAACAGCAGAACAAACAAAAAGGATGTAAAGTGAATGCTGACCAGCCACAAAAATAAAATTCAAATAGGAGTCCCATGTAGGCCAAATGGACAGGCAACAAAGAATTAATTTAACAATGTAATTTCATTGAAGACAAGCAATCATCTGTAGAATAGTCTTAATTAGTTTTAAAATAAATATTAGATCCTTACAGCTGCAGACCGCTGATAATAGTCCCAAACAAGCCCACCATTCCTAGAAACTCGACTCTGCTCAGATTTTTCACAATGTATTCCTCACTCACATTAGATATGGCATACAAAGAAGCACCCAGAAGAACTAAGACATCTCCAATCACCACGTCACTTCCTGTACAGAAATATTAATCCACAATAAGGGCAATGCTGCAAACACTTTTTTAAAAACAACTTTCCTTAAATAGACAAGCAAATGTATCTCTAGTATCTATTTTCTTAGCAAGCAGGTAAGGAAATGCCTGTGTGCAAGCAGGTTGCTGGCTGACCCTGCTAACTGCTCATACCTCTGGCATAATCTGGAAGGAGCTGAGCTCAACACTTACCAAGCCACTGCTGTACAGTGTGGTCCAGTCCTGCTTCTGCCAACATTAGGCAGAAAAACTGGAGAAAAGTACAGATTAGAGATGCTCTACACTTTTCTGAGTATCACCCCTGATTTTGCTGTAAGGCAAAAATGCATCTGTTCATTTGAGTGGCACCTGGACTGAGTTTCAGGTTTATGGCAGATCTAAAGTAGGTACTGTAGATGGGTGGCACACGTGTCATGCTGTGATGTGTGTGTACCATGCGAGTGGGACTCCCTGTAATACAACCGTTATCAATAAATGCCATCACGGATCAGCCATTCTGCAAGGCAATTGCTGTTGTTTAAAACCTTGAATTGATTTCAGACTTCCTTCCCTAAGCCAGTTGGCGATCACTGCAAAGACAGATCTGCAATATGAAGGCAACCAACAGTAACAACAAGCAAGTCACTGAGTAATGCTCAGGTGCCCTGCAGGCAAAGAGCATTTGTCTCCCTTAGGGCCAAGATATTTGTGTCACACAGAATTAAAGCTGAACCTGAATTTATCTTTCTACCTTACCTGAAGTCCCAAAATAATGCCAACAAGGCTTAGCTGTACACTGCCTGATCATGGTAACGACAGTTTCCTATCCTGCTTTTTACGCACATAGAAAACTGCACACTAGAAAAGTCTGCTCATAGGCTGACAGAGTGCAAATAAGATGAAGTCTGTAGGGAGAGGAGGCATCTTTTCTCAGACCATCTCACATATGAAATGAACAAGCCTTCAGGAATAAGTCTTTTCATCAGGTCTGATAAACAGCAATGAATGAAATGTAGCACCAGTGTTTCCCTTTTAACCCCAGTTAAAAGGGCCTTCCTGGAGAAGAAATTCAAATAGCAATGTGTTTTCTTCATTTTTAAAAGAAAGCTACACCCTTCCCCCTGCATTTGCTTCTCTTCCTCCTTTGCAAGTTAGCCCACTGTGGAAGCCACGACCCCATTTTTCCCTGCACAATACAGAATTCCTTACCTTCACTGTCCTGCCTCCCTGCCAAAATGTCAGCACCCACCATCGTTCCGACACCCAGCAAGCAGACAGCAACCGCAATGAAATGGATCAGCCGGTACCTTGCACGGAGAATGAACCAGGACAGAGCCATCAGCACAGGAATCCCAAAACAATCCAGTAGCTGTGTGCACAGAAATGATTTTGATTAGAAGGCCACTCCAAATCTGGATTTCTCTATCCTGAAAACAAATGCTGAGGATTTTATTTTCCATCACAACCAGATGTTACCGAAAGACACAAAACAACCCTTGTGGATTCATTTCAGTGCAAGAGGGATCACACCCACATCTTATCATAAAATGCATTTCAAAAGTGAGGAGGGGCTGGTGGGCATTGCCTCTAGGAAAAAACTCACTAATCTGGAAACACCTGCAGTGACGGATCTAATCAATTCCTGCAGCTTCACAAATTAGTGCTAGGACATCGCACTGAAGCCACGCCGCTTCCTGTGACACCAGTACAAGGAGGTTGTTCACTGACTCCCTTTTTTCCCCTCCACGTTTTGTCTAGCTCATCTTTCACTCCTCAAATCTGTGATTAAAGTTTGGGATGCATTTACACAGTGCTAAAGTCCAAAAGTGCTGAAGGATATAGATGATCCAATGTTACACCAAGGCAAAAATAAGGCAAGGCAAATAAGGCAAAAATCTGCAGGTTTTTTCTTTCCTTTCCTTTTCTCTTCTTCCCTTTTCTTTCCTTTTCTTCTTTTCTCTTTTCCTTTCCTTTTTGTCTTCAAGTGGATCTTACCAAAAAGCATTGTAAGGTGCTGAAAAGCATGTGCAAAATCGGTGAAAGAAGAACAAGATGAGAAAAGCAGCTTCCTTAAGTCAGCTTCTCAACCTCCCAGCTTCCTAAAATTATGTACAATTCAATGCTTTTTCAGTTCATTACTCTGCTAAAGCTGACACTCAGAAAGAAACAGGTAATTCAGTGATTTGTCCATGCCACAACAGCAAACACACACAAAAGCAGGAGCACAGAAGCATTTCGGATGTGTTTGCAGACATTGCCCTGAGCAGATTTTAAGTTCAAGGATGTCTGCACTCCATGGCAAGCAGTGACACTGGCTTCTGTTTTCTTTCTTCATTACTACCTCCCTGTGTGTTCCTAAAATCTTACACACCTTTGCCTCACTTGTGCTATACTCATTTCTCCCTTGTCGCAGTGGAAAAAAATAAGCAAGAGTTAGCTGTATATTTAATGCAGAAAAATGGGTAGCAGCATTAAATGGACATAATGTTCCAGGATAACCAACTAATATCAAGAACAGTCAGCTAATCATAATTGGTTCAATATTTAATTAACAAAACAGACATTGTTTCCTAATTTGACTATAGAAAAATGAAGTGGATTTTCTGACCTGCCTCAGTTGAGTGCCGTACTTTAGAGACCAGTTTACAGCAGAACATGTAGTTAGCCTTCCAAAGCCTGCTCACAAATTAGTCTTAAACCCTTAAAACCTGGCTTCCTAAAATCAATGCAAAGGATGGGGTTCACGTCACTGGGGCCATGGCTGAGGCATTACAAATAAAGGCAAGAGCCAGCAGTCCTTCCATGGTCAGCTTTTGCCAGCTTCTACCTACCACCATACTCTTGTGCTCATTAGTTCAGCCACTGCCCATAAGGATTTTAACAAAACAGACTCAATAAAGCCTTGCAAGCTTGAACTTTCATAGCTACAAATATTAAAGCCTTACCAATACAGCATGAAAGAGGTTGTTACAGATTAAACCCTAATGGTGCTCTCTAATCCTTCCACCTATTTGTCTCTGTTCTTTGGACTGTTTCCAGCTTGTCCAGCTTGGGAGGTCTGCATAAAGGAACAGGCGTTTGCCCAGGCTGTATCATCAGACCTCAGAACCACACAGGTTGTAATACATCCTATCACGTATTTCAGGGCAACTTCGCTCTGCTGAAAAAGTAATATTCTATGAGTTTCTGCACTTTATCTCACCTTTTGTCTGGGCTCAAAACACAAAACAAAGAAACAAACAAACTCAACAACAACAAAAAGCCCTGTGATTTTCTGGCACCTCCCCCTACTTTGACTTTTTTGACAAGTATCAAGAAGAGTCATTTATCTGTTTCACCAACAAGTACAGTTCAGCTCTCATGAATCAAGATTTTCCACTTCTGTTCTGAATCAATTCTGAAATGTATTTGAAAGCACAGTCTTAAACAAAGACTTCTCTGAAATAGGAATTTCTCTGTGAAGAAATACTACAAAAATACTAATTAAAAAAATGTTTTCACACACATCTCCCCAAGAGTAGACATCTCCTCTGTTAATAAGTAAGCTTTTGCTTCCCTGTTTATTGAGATGTTACCATGCAGCTTTCTAACTTCCAAGCTGTTTTCCAACTCAAACAGAGAATGGAATCAAAACCTTTGGGGAAAAAGAAAAAAAAAAATGATGTAAGGAAGAAGTAAATAATCAGCCATGATCTCTTCTGGTAACATCAGATAGGAAATTGCTGCATCCAGACCAATAACACGTTGTAGAGTTGCAGCATCCCTGTTAGTGGACTTGCAGCCATCACATCCAGTCATCAAATGATGAAGAACACACACTTGCAATCTGTTTCAGGGGGCAGTTACACTCAGAAAAAACGTATCTGATTTCCATGTACTGATCTCGCCTGTTTTTCATTTACCACATTACAAAGCTCTTTGGTAGAAAATGCTCTCACCTGCACAGGATCAAGATTACAGAGGTGCAAAGCAGAAACACCATCACAATGAATTGTGTCAGTAGAACTGTTTAAAAGAATGAAGTTTGTTTATTCAGACTTTATGACATTTATGGCAGTACTGTGGTACTGACTACTACTGTCAGTAGAGCCTCAGCAAACTCACCTTACTCAATTCCAGCCTGTATTTTCACACAGGGGGGAAAAAAAAACAGTAACATCTTGATTTGATTTATGAGTGTTTTGACCCAAGCCAGGTTATGGCCACACTGCTCATAGGAAGGTTTTAAGGGTAGAGTGAGTAAATCATTAAAAGATGTTTTAATACATGGTTAATCAATTATCACGGACTGCAGGAGGTCACTGGTTTGTTATAACTGCTGGCTCCAGCACTAAAGCTAAGCAGCTTAGCCTGCACACTCTCCCCCATGGTTCCCAACAGGCAGGTTCCTGCTGAAAGCCAAGCTTCCAGCCTGGATTTTCTCCTGTGAAGGTTCATACTCTTCCACAAACTGATATTCTACCTATAAAATTTCTCCACCTGAATTATCAACAGAGAAAATGCTAGTTGTGCCTAATAACTTTGGCAACACAAAACCATAGCTGCACCACTTCTAGTTTTGCTATGAAATACATGGTCGGACAGCAATACAGCCATGTCCTGCCTCCAGCCTGGAGCACACCAGCACTGAGGAAGTCTCAGCCACAGCCCAGCAGGAGATCCAGCTGTGCACCTAAGTCTTTTTCTGTATTTACAGAGAAAGGGAAGTTGCCATCCTGATATTATCTCTAAAAATTTTTCCAACCCCTCCCTGCAATGCTAGCATTTCATAACTAAAGGAAAACCAAGTGGTTTGGTTTTTTTCCTGTGTTTGTGTGAAAACACATGGAAGTCCCTTGCTGAGCGGAAACCTACATTTAAACAAAAAGATAAAGCTAAGGGAAAGCTCCAGCCAGCCACCATTTTTATAGTAATTAAACTGTATTCAGGAAAGTCTTGAATACTCCTGCTTTGCTCTTACACACGCTGAGCTTCCACTTAGAGCCACTACTGAAGCCAGAGGCTCAGAACCACAGATTCTAATGTAACTGCAGAAGATGCTGGCTGCTGACAGCAAATGCTTTGCATGGGAGTAAACTGCAGGTTTTTTTGTCTTGAATCCCCATTTGAACCCCGTGACTTCAGAAAATGTGCAAGAAACCTGACTGCAGCTGGTAGTTACAGTAAATTCACAGTTACTGAACTGGCACTCGAAGCAGCTGTCTGGAGGTTCTCACATGCACATCTAGTAAATGTTTGAATCTGGCAATTGGACTCCATGACCCACTGTATCTACTCTTTCTTCTGACTATGAAAGATATCGTGGGAACACTTCACCACTTCTGAGAAGGATCAAAGTCCCGGCTTTTTCAGCTGTAAAGCGTATGATCAAACAGCATCTCAATGATCAGCTTAGCTTGATCTTGAGCCTGAAACATACCATTCTTAAGTCTGTAATTTCTGAGGCATTATTTGTAAGTAAATTAAAGACTTAATGAGCCATAATACATAATTATGAAGTGGCAATGCAACAAGAATAACCCCTAAGGCACATTACTGTTCCTTCAACAGTACAAGAAAACACTACCACAGCTCTCTAAAGGAAGCCTACACCACAGGTGTTCATTGCTTTATAGATATTTCTTTTAAATATTAACTTTTGTTACTTTGACTCAAGAACAGTGATATCTACACATTCCTTTTCAACTAACAGCTGATTTTGTATGATACATTATGCCTTTATTTAGGTAAATGGGGCCAGGACCTGATCCACAGGTTCACCATTGTTAAAAGCAGGCATAGGCTGCCACCCTCCATTCTTGCTTCTGCACTGTCCCCTCCCTTGTCCTGGCAGACATAGTTCATGTCTGTGGAGTGTGGCAAAAACTGCCACCACAGTCTTGCTGTTATTTTAGAACAAATGTGCCCCAGTGCAGCAATGAAGTATCAAGCACTGGCACTCCTGAGGACATGACTGTTGACTGATATTTGGCATACTGACCTCCCTCCCATCTCATAGAGAGAGTTCTGAATTGCCACAGCCAAAAGCCATAGCACTGGCTCTTCACTGCATGCTCAGAAACACCAGCTGACTTCCAATATGTCCTCACACGTGGGGTTACATCTTGCAAAGATTCCCACTGCTTCCAGGCTGATCTACCTCACTCCCATCATACTCAGAGCTCAAGCTGAGCCAGTGTTATCTGGTCCAAAATCTTTACACTGTGTCATGAAAAAAAAACCCTGAGTGGCTGTCAGCAAACTCTTAGAAGTGCTTTCTATCAAAATAATTAGAGTTCAACTCAAGAGTTGGCAATGGATAATATCAGCCAATTTTCTCTGCTTCCTGGAAATGTTGCAGAATGCTCTTCTCTGTACTGCAGAGAAAATAGATCCTGAAAGGCTTTTTCAGGTTTAAATAGCTTCCATGTCTGTCCTATGAATCTCATTTCAGAAATGAGTCCAAAACCGCAATCAAAGCAGCAGTTCAAAATAGAGATAGTCCTTACCTGAACGCTCGTGAGAGTCGTGTATTGGTAGGCTTTTACAATCATGTAATTGGCCTCAACATCAGCCAGTCCCAAAAAAATATACTTCCACCACCTCTGCTTCAGAATTTGAAGAAGACTGTCACCGCCTGTTTAGAAAAGAGCAGCAGTCAGTGTGTTTCTTTCCAATCAAATATTGCCCAGGAATCTTTCTTTTAAGAAGTATAAGTAATACTGTGATGCTGAATTTGGGTTGCCTCTGCTTAAGGAAAGTATAACAAAAGTACAATATAGCCAGAGAGAAGACCATAGAAATGGTGAAAAGCAGAGACACTGTCTCAAAGATATATATACATATATAAACTAGAATGTTTAAAGAGTAAATTAATACAGTATAGCAACCATATTAAGCAGACTCTTGCTAAGAATTTTTTTTACAATGCCAATTTTCCCCTAATATGACACAGGACTTGAAATAAAAAAGAACAATATAAAACAAATATGAAGTGAAAGCAAGTTACATGCACATTTAACAATGCAATTCACTCCCATGTGTTATTGCAAGGCGGTAATTTCAGCAGGATCTTTACAAAAGCTAGGCCAAGTATTGAGTAAGTTCTGTAATTTCAAACTGTGGGGAAAAAAAAAAAAGGAAGCAGATTCTTTCATCCCACATTTTACATACCAGTCCTAAACGCCAGCATTGTTGTATAAACTAGAAGAAGTAAAGAATAGTTGATAAAACTTTGAAACATTGGAGTATTCACTTGGTACTGTTCTGCCAGGTACTGGCTTGTAACAGCAGTCCCACAGATAAACAAGGACAGCATCTGGCCCAGGAGGATTGTTTTCAAAATATGCCTGTAAATATGAAAGACAACAAAGTAAGCTTAGAATTAAACATTCCAATTCATTAATTATTTTACAGGGAAAAAGCCATTTTATAGATTGATATTTCTTTTTTTTTTTTTTACTGCCTATCGATGTTCTTTCACTTCACCAGCAAGCAGCATTGTGTCCATACTGAAGGTCTCGACCACACAACAGCCAGCAAAAATTGGTAAGGCTGGTCCAAATCAGCTAATAAAGACTGCAGTATGCTGCAAGCACCTCCACTCAACTCAGCTGGGCAGGCTCAGCCCAATGATCTATTCTCATCACATTTTGACACGCGCATTCTGAGTTACACCTCCTGTTCTCCACTGCCTCATCTCAACTTTGTTCATCAGGAATCCGCAGTGTGAAGAGTGGCACAACAATTATCTCAGAAGATTTGAGCCTTTGCAAGTGAGTTGAGTCCCTAAGATGAGCAGTGCTATGGAAATACAAAAACATCAATACTTATTGTGGATTTTTTCTGCTACAATTCATTACATTCTGGTGCAGCTGATGATGGAGTTAAGAGCACATCTGTGCCAACAATCACGCTATCTTCTAAAGTGCAATTCACAGCTAGGGGAAAAGAAAATCTCATGCTCTTTCAATAGCAGCTCCTCCCATAGTATGAAGTGACTAACCTACATGTCCCTACACAGAGAGCCATGCAAAGCTTGCTGTATATCCTTTTCCTGCCACTGAAGCTATGCAGAGTCCTACCACCTTACTGCTTGCACACTCACAAGCAATGTACAGCGAGATCACCTCAGTGCTGCATTGCCTGCGTGGGTCTGTCCACCTCTAAATTTGTTTACTCTGAAGACTACCAATGACAATTTATCTGGTTGCACAACGCAGCAAATTTGTTCCTATGGAGTAATTGAGAAAGGAAAGAGTATCTCATTAGGATTCTACATCTACCCAGTGCCCACAGCCCTCCACTGACAACACAGGGCAAGTCATTCCAGACACACTACCAGAAAGTAATACCACTTGTTTTTTTTCTAACGTGTCACTTAAATGTAGTAATCACCAGCTAACCCAGCTATGATGTGCAATCCAGCTACAGTGTGATCCAGCTACAACGTGCAATCCAGCTGCCAATGTCATCTACAAGAAGGGTGTGCTCTCGGGAGACAAAGCCAACACAAACCATGCCTCCCTTTGGATGCAACATGACTTCTTTGCGCTGAAATTTGCTGCAGTTGCTGCAGTTTGAATTGAAATTCATTTTCAGTTCAGCCTGATCTCAGAGTTCACCTGACTTTAACTGCTGCTAAACACATTTTTCTCCAAACCCTCTTAGATGAGACAGCAAATCTCTGGGAGCCCAGCGGTACTTTACTTCCAAGACAGACAAGTACTACATTCTGCTATAGCTTGCCTTGAGCACCCCAGTAATGGTGCACATCCACACTGTCAGTTTATCTTGTGACAACCTTGTAAGACTGTCAAGTGTGAATGCCTCATTCTGGTGCTTGAACAAGCAGTCTCATCTTCAGCACTTTTAGTGCTGAAGTAAGGAGAGACCGTGTTTCCCATGTTTCAGCTAGAATTTTTTCATAGCTACTTTGTAGCACAGAATTAACTGCACACACTGCTGTAAAGCACACCTACATAAGGAGCGATTGCTGACAAAAAGAAATAAAAAGCAAAAAAAATCTGTGAAGCTACTCTACTTCCGTAATACTGGATTACTTTTTATTCTGGCAAAGATCTGACTGTATCACTTGGTAAACATATGAGCAAAGATCTGGCACACATCCTGGCCATTCCTTCTGACTGATGCAGAAATGTCTTTTTACATTCACCTGAAGAACTCAGGCCACCCGGCACCACTCAGAACATAACACAGGCCAGCTAAATTTTCAAAGATGAGATTTCCCTCCTCCCTCCAGGAAGCTGAACACTGCTCCCAGCTCTCCTGTTGCCACCCCATAGGCAATGAGAGGAGAAGTCTCACTACAATATGGAGGAGGAATAACATGGTGAACAGGAGCAACGGGAAACATGGTTCCAGCAGCACAGGCAGGAGCACCCTGCAGGCCTGCGCCTGTTCAACATGGGCCTCAGTTGAGTCAAGATGGTCAACACTCTCACAGGCTCTGCAAGAGGCAGCCCTCACATCTCCCAAACACCTGCACTTCTCTAGAGCAGAGGTCTCCATATGCAGCATTTTGGCACATGGATAATAACCCGGCAAAAAGAAAATCTGCTGACACTCACATCTGCTAATGACTGATCAGCTTCAACCACCAGTTACCAAAACCAGCCTGGTTCTCAATAGGGCTGACCCTCAGCTATCCTAACAACTAAGTTTCTCCAGCTTGAAGCACTCAGGAAATTACATTCTCCCATTGTTACAGTGGGAAGAGCAGCAGGCCCAGAACCTGCAGAGCTGCTCACTTGGTGGCTGCCACATCAGCGATTGCCACGTGGTTAATGTATGCCAAGGCACTCCTACTGCATTCCCTTCTACAGCACTGAAGGCGGATGCAAGGCTGTGTCTCTGCCTCACTCTCTTTATTTTTCTCCTACTCACAGATTTTCATGCCAAAGTGAGTTTCTTCAAACCAAGAAACCAAGAGCACATTCCCAGTGCTCAAAGCAGCAGTTCAACACGGTAAGGCTACCCCCATGGAACATGTGCTCAAGTGCTTTCCTTGTGTTGTATGAGTTCAGTGCCCACCAAATTTACACAGCAAATTAACCTTACCCAAATCAACCTTACCCAAAGTGCTTTGTCCTCCGCCAAATTTCAGAGTAAAATTTAAATTCTATTGGTTACATTTTGCAAGACAACTTCTTATCAGAAAAATGCATGCAAGACATCTGTTTCCATTCACTTCATGATATAGCTATTGATTAATGTGATTCTTAATAATTCATCATGTTGTTTGTTTTTGTTTTTTAAACATTATTAATAATTAACTCTTCCATGTTAGAAATTGGTCTTTCTTTTTTAATGCATTGGTAAGGACTAAATCATTCTGGACTCTGATGACACAAAGTGGTCTGAGACAGCCTTTTAGTTATAAGTTTGTTTTTTGTTGGTGATGTGGGGCTTTTTTTGTTGTTGCCAGAATTATAGGTTTTTTGTTTGCTTTTTTTTGTTTTGGCTTTTTTAAACCGCTTGGCAAGTGGCTATTGAGTTATCACTTCATCTCTCCCTTTAGAATCAAGGCTGATTTAGGCTGGAAATAACAGTGTAAGATCACCAAACCGAACTGATATACCATCAGGCCACACATCCTATCTGACTATTCCTATAAGAGCTGAGAGACATTTTTGGAACAAGTGAGAACTTGGCACAATGTGTTCCATGGCCACTGCTGGTCCAGCCACTTGGCATACAGCCTCCAGCATCTTGAGAACACCAGGCTGGTGGCTCTGTGGCTCCAGGTGAAACACAGAGGAAGAGCATATCAAAACAATAAAAACATACTTAGTTCATAGATTAGAAAGTTCAAGAACCTCTAATAGGCCCACTGCTAACGGTTTTATTGGTTATTATTTTAATAAACTCTGTAATTTTCATGTGATCTTTTTCCTCACAAAAAAAAAAAAAAAAATACCACTCTTCTAAAATTAAAAATTTTATTGATGTCACCAGTTAAACACCAACAGGTCAAGCCTGGCAACCTCAAACAGAGCATTTACTCACATTTCAGCTTCAGCTACTGAACCCTTCCCAAATGAGGGAAACAGAAAGAGAGACCACTTTGTTTGAACCACCTCGCATAGTTATGTGAATCAGTACAGGAAACACAAGTGCAAGATGAAGCCTATTTCATTATTATGAGGAGAAAAAGGTTCTTCTAGGTCAACCTTTTCAGTGTTTCAGTGTTCTGCTTTGAAACGGAGATCAATTAATTTGTAAAAGGCAACGAACTGGAGTGGAAAAACAACAAAGTCCATTTAGTCTACTGCACACGTTAAACGTTTGTATAACTCTGGCCTCTAAATCTCAAGTGGCAGAGCCTCCAAACACCTGGAAAAAAAAATTAAAAATTCAGTAGCAACAGAGAAGCCTTTGGAGAAGACAGCCAGAGCTCTATTTTCTTTGAAGCAGCACCCAGACTAAACAATACAGCCCTCTGGCAACATCTGGCAACATCACTACCTGTGAGATTACTGAGCACTTCCTGCTAGTTCCATCTTGTATTTTGGGGCACTCCTGAAATGCAGGAGGAACAGAAAACTTGTAACCAGAAAAAGAGAGGCAGGTTTCACACTTCAGAATAGGTCTGTACTTGACCAGCACAAATCCCCGCACATCCCTGCCATCACACTCTGGATTGTAAGCACGATGCTGGCAGGAGCCAGCGCTTCCTTGTTAGCAGGGAATGCCCGGTGCAGTGCTTACCTGAAACCACGTCCGGAGCCCACAAAAAAGCTTTTTAAATTGACACTTCTTTATTTTCTCCCTCAGACGCAAACTGAATTTGTAAGTGAACGGAAACTCCCGAGGGCTGAGGGCAGGAGGCCATCTGCACTCACTAAGGCAGCGCTGACTAGCGCAGGGACACGTGCCATGCCTGCACCGCTTGCTTTCCGCCAGTTTTTCCACGCTTCACCAGCGCTGCCGCGCTAAGCGATATACATCAGTGGGACTCAGCCCCGAGCTGATTCCAGAGACGAGAGGAAGGGAAGTCCTTCTAGACTCCGCACTCACGTCAGCTATTTGGTTCTGTTACCTTCTTCCCTCCTGTTTCCCTTTCCTTCTTTGCCGCAAAGTTGACGGAGACGAAAACAGAAAAAATAATACTAAGCCAGAATTGCTAAGATTAAAAATAAACAAATAAATCACGGTGCATCAACGGACACGTGAGATGACACCCACAGCCCCGCAACCCGGCACACCTCCGGCTCCGCACACCAGATTCCCGGACCCTCGGTTCCCGTTCCCGCCCTCACCTCCCCGCCCAGAGCTCCCAGCCCATCGGCACGAGCGCAACGCAGCCCGGCCGCGCTACCGAGCCCGTTCTCCAGGACGCGAGCCCGGCTCCACGTGGAAGCAGCAGGCCGCGCGCTCACCAGGTGCACAGCTTGTCGCCCAGCAGCGCCAGCAGCCGGCGCGGAGCAGCAGCGGCGGTCCCGGGCGGCGCCGCCTCGGCTCCAGCGGCGGCCCCAGCGGCGGCCCGAGCGGCATCCTCGGCCTCCATGGCGCGGCGCTGCCTCAAACCTGCGCCCGCCGCGCAGGAACGGAGCGAGCGCCGCGGTAACGCGGTCCAGCTACGAGCGGAGGAAGGGAGGAGCCGCCGCTTCGCGCCCAGCGGAGCTTTGTGCCCGCCGAGGGGCCGCCCCCGGGAGGGGCATGGCTCGGCCGGGAGCTCTCGGTGCCTCGCTGCCGTAGCGAGCTCGGCCCCGCCGGCGCGGTGGGCCTGGCCTGACTGTCGTGGGGCGTCCCGAGCCCCATCCTTCTTCAGTCCCAGTGGTTGCCCCAGACCTTCACCCTTTGATTTTTCCCAGATTTCTATACGGCCTTGAGCTCCTCCGGGCCTTCGGTCCCCACCTTTGGCGACGAGTGCCACCCTAAGGATGTATCGAGCCCGGATGCCGCCACCCACACCCTAGCAAAAAGCACGCAGCTCACCCGGAGGAGCCGGTGGCGTTTTGCACCATGTTTTAGTGGCTGACTTCTGATGACACCCTGCCTGCATCACGGGTGATGGATTCAAACCCGAGGTTCCTAATAAAAATGAGGAAAAAGAGGTTCTGCTATAACTCCCACAAGAAATCAGTCTGTGAAGATTAGCTTCAGTGCTGTGATAGTTATGAGTCAGGTAACGCTGGTCATGCAGAAACATAATTTAGAATACAAATAAGATAGCGGAGCTGAAGCAGAAGTAGCAGACATTGCGTATGTTGTCACGACTGCTCTCCACAGTTGCAGTCTATTCTCTCATCTGCGATCTGCTGATTCTCCAGAGGTGGGAAATGAGTCTCTGCTGCCTTTTGCCTCCAGTCAAGCTCTTCTCTTGGAATCAGCCTAGGTGGGCTGTGTCTTACAGGTACATTTGTTAGACTTTGGGACTAAGTTCAATTCACAGTGTGATAAACTTTGCTACCTGAGGAAGGTTTTATGGCCTGTGGATAAGCACAGCCATGAACACAGAAAAACCTGAGATATCTAAACGTGACTTTGCGTTAAGGCAGTCCTGCTTCAGGCTCCTGCTTTTACTGCGATTCTGTGTTCGCCTCAGGTGTGACCACATCTGCACATTCTGGGATGTCAGCCGTACGGCTGCCTTGAGCCATGCTGGTGGCTCCAGGGACACCTTCCATGCAGCCCAGGAGCTGGTGGTACAGCTCCCTCCTGCTGCCTCACCGATGGAGACTGCTTTTGTTTAGAGAAGGTATAAAAGTATTAGCACAGCCATACACATGAGACACAGCCCTATCTCCTATCTTCATCTGCTCAGTGTCTGCAGTAGATCAACTCTTCCTCTATGCTATTTTTGTAATGTCTGTAATGGTAAAAAACAAATAATTTTTATGTTGACAGCATCTGCTCTAAGTAAAGTGAAATGCTATACTGCACATACAGACAACTATTACTGCTTTCTGCTTTTACTTTATCTACAAAAGGAAAAACAAAATGTCATGGGTGAACTTAATTTGAAACTGCTGAAGTGATTCCAAATAGAATTTCAAGCAAGCAGAACTGTGAGGATTTTTTTTATTGAAAGTATTTATACCACTAGAGGTCCTTCGTGGTCAAATTATGATTTCTACATTTTTTTACTATAGATCTTTAAGAGTGCTAAATACAAAGATTACTGCCTACAAAGAAATTTATTTTCTGCACTATAATATAATCTTAGAGTAGCAGTAATTTTCCATGCTTCTTATGGTAAAAAGTTGAAGAATTTTTTTCAGAAATTTTAATGGAAATTTTTGCTTTATTTTGAAATACGTCATTTTATTTTTTAGTTCAACAATTGCACATGTAACATTTCTAATTTTTCATTAATTTACACTATTTCTTCACCATAACTTATTTTCTCTTAGAAACAAATAAAGACTAACTACCCAAATCAGGATATGCATTTCAAACAATAGAACAACATAGAACGCAGATTTCATCTGCTGCTTCATGAATGTCTTCTTACTTTTCCAAGTCAAAATCCAGTTAAAAAAATGTTTGAAAGCTGTTTGGAAGAACTGTGCAACTTTGGGAGCTTGAGTAGTAGGACTGAGATTAAATTCATCTCTACAAAACATGATACCACTTATCTGGAAAATAGTAACAAATACTTGTAGCATATGCTCATTATTTGGAAACAATTAGGAACTAAGACAAAGAAGTTCTTGCTGTTCTCAGAATGGCCATGAGCTAGAAATGTCTAGCAGCAGCACAAAGGGCACACAATGGCAATGGGCACAAAGTGGCACCCAGTTGTCTCTCTATGAACAGCAGGAGCACTGCTGTGCTGTGCGGTTGGCAGAGCATTGGCACGGGCTGCCCGGAGGCTGTGGAGTTTCCTTGGAGATCTTCCAAAGCTGCCTGGATGTGAGCCTGGGCACCCTGCTCTGGGTGTCCCTGCTGGACTAGGGGCTGGGACAGGTACCTCTAGACGTCCATTCCAACCTCAGCCATCCTGTGATGCTGAAATTCTGAGATAAGCTGGAATCAAGACATGTATCTGAATAGATTCTGAAACATGGCGCACATGCTAGTTAGTCATGTTCAAGACAAATGGACAAAAAATGCAAAAAGATTTGCAGGAGACCATGAGAGTATGGCTTATTTTACTAGTAAATAATGCTGATGTGGACAAAGCTGCTGTTAAAAAATGCACTGAGAACAAACGCTGGAAAATGAAATAAACCTTTCAAAATAAATTAGATTGGTAGTAAAGAAAAAGCATGTGTATTTTAGTTTATTAATTTTAGGCTGAAAATGAGAAGACAGTCCCTCATTTATGTTTAAAACACAGCTGCCTTTAGTTGGACAATCAGGCCCTGAAACAGATGTTCTGTAGGAGCAGAAGTAACAAGAAAGTAACCTGGGAGCCAAGCATTCACCTCCAATGACATCAGTGTGCTGGGGCTGGCCTGTTCATCTGAGGTGCGACCCAGGAAAAAAATCAGTTTTTGTGGCAGACATAGTGCCTTAGAGGCCTGAGTAAACCAACATGAACATTAATTTCAGTCATAGTCAGCAAGATCTCAAAGGTCACTTGGCGTCACATTCAAATACAACTGCCTCCAGTGTTCAGTCCTCCAGCCCTGGCACTGTCATAAATGACATTAGAAGAGCCAAAGGGCAGATGGAGATTATAGCCTCACTGGAAAGGCAGACATAACAATGCCCAAGGATCACCAACATTTGCATCTTCTTAGAACATGTTGATAGCATGACTTTGTTCCAAACACTCTGTCCCAGAAATGAAGAAAACTCCTCCTCAGTCCTCTGGCAGACTTCGTTGACTTCTTAGAAGTACATTTTTCTGATGTCTGCATGGAATAACATTTAACACTTCCATCTGTGCAACTGCAGCCTATAATATGACCTCTCCAATACACAGCTTCTGTTCTTTGGACTAAATAAACTAGTTTGGATTCTATTATTTTTTTTTTTTAAGTTGATCACTTTAATGACTATGGAAATAGTGCTTGAAAAGACACAGCCTAGAGTTTTCTGTTTGCAGACTGGGTTGCACTTTATTCAGGAATCATGGTATCATAGAATTGCTTAGGCTGGCAGGGACCTTAAAGACCAACCAGTTCCAACCCCCCTGCCATGGGCTCCAGCCTGATGAATGTGCCTTTCAAAGTATTTTTTATTAAAATATGTTTATATATACAATTAGAACCACAGAATAATTTAGGTTGGAAAGAATCTTTGGAGGTTATTTGGTTCATCTCTCTGCTCAAAGCAGGGTCAGCTAGAACAGGCAGTTCAGGACGACATCCAGTTAAACTTGAATATGTCCAAGGTTGGAGATTTCACAACTCTCTGAGCTCCTGCCCCAACTTATAAGTACCCTCACAGTAACACAGATGGCAGCTCCACCACCTCGCCTTGCTAGCCTGTCTTTCCTGTTGCAGTCATATGAGCTGTACCACCATGTCGTCGTGTTTGCAATGAGATTGTGGCCTGTGATCACACACAGATCTCTGGTTCTTCTTGTTTATTTCCCATGCTGTATGCATTAATATACAGGCACTTCAGGGAAGAAAAGGGTGTAGGTATACCTAGAGGAATACAAGAAGATTTCACATAGGCATACATACTCCTAAGGTGGCTGGCCTTCTGATTTTGTCACTGGAAGCAGCTAAAGAACATTTATTGCTCTTACAGTTGTAGCTTATTCTCCAGTCAATTGCAATGGCATGAGAATTGCCATTATGGACCCCACTCCCTGATTCTTTCAGTTTAAAGCACACCTCACTAGCTTAGCCAGCCTGTTCCCAAAAATTGGTCTGCCCCTTCTAGACAGGTGGATTCCATCCTTCCCTAACTGATTATAATCTTCACAGAAGGTCTCATCATTATAAAACCCCTAACCCTCACAACAGCACCAGCCTCATAGCCAGGAGCTGACATGTATTATGCATATTTTCCTGGCTTCCCTCTTTTCTCTATCTGGTAAAATGGAAGAGAAGATAACCTGGGCTCTAGAGTTTTTCACTTGTGCTCCCAGAGCTTTGTAGCTTTCTTTGATTCTTCTCACATTCCACCTTCCAGCATCATTTGTACCCACATGGAAGAGCTACAGGCAATAGTAGTCTGTGCTCTTGATACAGTGGAGCACCCTTCCAGTAACGTCCCGGATCCTGGCTCCCAGGAAGCAGCAGAACTCTTAAGACTCCCTGTCAGTCCAGCAGAGGGAAGTGTCAGTGCCTCTTTGCAGGGAGTTACCAACTGCAAGCACCCCACATTCATTTTTACAGTACCCACTGCAGGCCACGGGTGGTGGTTTCTTCATGGAGATCTTGGGAGTCAGGAACACCTATAGCTGCAAGAGCTCTGTACCTGTCTTTGTATCCTGCTAGTGGAGCTGGATGGTTGGGACTAAAGCGGAGCCCCCGATCCAAGGTTCCTCTCTCTCAGTAATGTCTCCAGCTGGAACATGATTGTTAAACAACCCGTCTGTCTCCCTCTCAGCACATCTGATTTAGTGCAGGTTTTCTCCTACCTTATCAGTAGGAGAAGGTCCCGGGGCACTTGTAACAATCACCCACCCGAACTGAAGGTCTCATTTTTTACCAGCTTTGCCTGGACAGATGCATCTAACATCTCTAACATCCTGCATATGCAAAACCCATTCTTTTTCATATTGCCTACTTGAAAAAAAACATCTATTCAAATAACACGATCATCAATTCTCTTAGGAAAAAAAACAAAAACGTTTTCTCAAGAACATTCAATTTCAGTGTTAAGTATTCAAAGATTTTGTTGTAAATATAAGCCTGTTCTCTTATAATTGGATTTTAGGTTTGATATTTTTATTTTGAAAATTTTTGTAAGTCCTGAAGTCTTTCTTGAAGTCCACTTTCTTGAAGTTCATTTAAAGACTTTAAGTAAAGACAGAGCAGTTTCATGAAAGTAGAACAAAAGTTAAAGACATTAGGTGTCAACCAGACTTGTTGAACCACATTCCACTCTTTGTTTTAATCTTGGCAAGACATTCTACTAATGAGTAAATGATGTGAGCTGCACCTTTAACATAACATTAATTTAGCTGAACTTTCACCACTTGGAAGATATTGGAAAACATTTTGTATCTACAATGTAACATTTCATTAATATTTAGAATAATACATAGAAGAACACAAAATGAGCAGGGCTGAGTTGTTTTTTGTTTTGTTTTGTTTTGTTTTTGTTTTGGTCAATAGGAGTCTCAGAAAATATGACTCTTCCGGACATTCAAGCAAAACTTAGCTGCCATGTTAGCAAAATGTTAAGTACTTTATGTGCTGGCATGCTTTCCTATATGTTTCTATTAAGATATGCAATCAGGTTACTTTAGGCATTCCTTTTCCTATTTCTAGAACTGAAATTGATCACAGAATTCTCTTTATCTCTCAGTCTTCATATAAACACATTAGTAAAATCAATATTATACTGAAAACCAAATTAATGAAGAAGGAATCATTCTTGGAGATTTGTAAAGAGGAGAGGTTTTACAAAATAAACTGTGTTGCTGTCCAAAAGCTTATCTGTTCCATGGTGAGGTGCACTCCCTGGTTCAGAATTTTATCTGATTTAAAACACTGTAATATAGAAGTGCTCTATGAAATTCAGTAGTCTTATCCAAAGATATTCAACTTCCAACATTGACTAGAACTTTGTCCATTTTCTTCATAGAACTTTTCCTTATGCTCCTGGCCATCAGTCATGCACACTACAAGTTAGATGTCCAAGACTGACTGTCCATGTAGCAGCATGCTGTGATTATTGCTTTGCCATTCTGTTTGAGTATGCAATACACCATACAAGATAAATACTTTCTATTGCATCTGTGAGAGAAGAAAATGAATGTCTAGACTGATTTACAGGAATTTTACTACAAAATGACTATTTCATGAAAGTTGTCATTTGTTGTGTCTGTCCAGTTCATTATGTTCAGTTTTGTTGTGCTTGTTTGCTTGTTTGTTTGATCTGTGTGATGCCTCTTCAGCTTACAAATTTTTCAGGCACATATGCCCAGCCACTTGACCCACCAGCATCCCTGAGTCCTCCATTACTACTCAGCCCACTGATACCACTAAATCCTTTGCTACAAAATCTGCGCCAGAACTTGAAGATGAAAAATGGCTCACAGATTTATCATTTTTGGTGGATTTGGGCACTCATTTAAATGAGTTAAACATAGGTCTTAAAGGGGAAAATCAATTTATGCTGTGTTTCAAACCATAATAGTGTTCAAAATGAAACTTATGGCAAGCTCCAGTTATGGCAAATCATTTCACGCATTTTGATATGTTGGCTAAACACAGTCCTGTGAACAGCAAAAAAAAAAATGCAGCCCTACTTTCCATTCTGGTAATGGAATCTGAGAATAGGCTTCAAGATTGCTAGAAAATCACTAATTTTTTGGTATATTTGTGTCTCCATTTTCAGTTGACATAAATACATTACCTGTGAACTTTCAGACTGAATGTAGATATTCAACTCAAAGAAAAATCTGACCCTATCTCTTTACCAGACTCTTAAGAGCCTTGTCTTACCAGAGAAAACACCTCTTACTTCACAACCCCACTTTATTCATGTCACTGCATTTCCTCTTTCAAGAATGAAGCACTGGAAGACTAAGCTTCCATCAGAGATCTCTGGTGAGCACCATCAGAGCTCACTGAGAACCGAGGTGTTAGTTTCACCAGTTTTGGTGTTAGGCCAAATAGCCCACTAGTTTTATGGTTTATTTTTTCCCCTTATTCTTCAGTCTTAATTAAAAAAAAAAAAAAAAAAAAAAGTTTTGTTACCTACATACATGAAGTATATAATACATATTTATATGCAGCCTATGACAATTCCACTTCACTCAATACAGCACAGAAAAGCCAAAAGGTTGGACACCTATAGGCTAAACAGAACATGCTTGAAGGTGACGCGTAGTCTTTGCCAGGCATGAAATGGGCTTCTTCTACCACTGTGTGTGAAAATGCTTATTTTTAAAAACTCTTCCTTGAACTTCAGGACGGACTTTCCCCTGCGGAGGAGGCTCTGCGCTCCATTCGTGGCAGCAGCGGGCGCCCCCTGGCGCTCAGATGAAGCCTTTACCACATCGCTCAGCGGCGGGGGAGGGGCGAAGAGCGCCAGCGCGCCAACGCGCCGCCTTTTCCGCGGCCCGCATTCGTCAGCCGGCGCTCAGGAGGGAGGCGGGCGCGTGCGCATGTAATAATGACAGCGAACGTGTGAAAAGCAGCAAATGCTCCTCTGTTAAAATGCTCCATCTGTTATTCTGGTGTCGGTATAAAATGTTCAAGTGTGGCTAATGCTAAATATTAATCACTTGATTAGTAATGATTGGTTTTTAAAGGGTAAAGAGCCATTTCCTCAGCATGCATCACAGTCGCTCAGCATGCCAGGCCATGGCGTATGTGCTGAGCAAGGAAAAGCAGTTTCGCTGGTTGTGGCTGAAGGGCAGGCCACGACCCTCTCCTACATAGCTCACCCTTGTATCTGCCCTGTTTCCAGAGCTTCCTGTTGCATCAGTTTCTTTCCATCTGGACAGCTCAGCATCTTTCTAACCAGAGGTCATGTTCAGGCAAAAGCATTTTCAGCCTCACCTCAGCAGCTCCACAGGCCGGACTTACCCTGTCTCCCACTGCCACCTGGTGGGTAGTGCCGCTCATCTGATATATCAGGCAAGGAGCTGCCTTTCCTTCAGCCCGTTGTAATGTCGCCGATAAAAAGAGAGCTATGCGCCCATGAATGTCAGTGTATTGTGTCAAACCAGTCATAGGATGTGAGCAGCAGCATTACAGGATTTGAGCGCTGAGAACCCCTACAAATCTTTGATTCCAACAAGGATCTTTTTTCCTTGTGAACCCAAACAATCTCTGGGCCATAAGAGCTGAAATGCTGAGAACAAAGATGTTCAAGTGGTCTTTGAGAAACCTCAGGCAGATGTTAGTGTGAGAGTTTCACCTGTTGATAATAGTTTTCATTTTCATCCCTGAGATCATTCAGATTCGTCCCTGGGATTGGGAGCAGAACTTGAAGAGGGTTCACTGAAAAAAGGCTTGTCTGTGTATTTTCTGAACCAGAACAGTTTAGTTTGAAGGGACAAAAACATCCCTGATGGTAACAGAATGACTCAGAAAGGGTAGTGAAAGTGAAATCTTTCCTTCCTGCGAGGGGCCACTGAGAGTTGGTTCTGCAAGGGCATGCAGACCCTTCAGAAAAACAATCCTGCTTCCCTCCACACATATCTCCCCTCACTTTTTGTTCTCCCATCTTCCATGTCTCTCAGTCCTTTCAGAGAGATGTCAGGCAGTGCAGGAGGCTGGGATCAGTGCATGGTGGCTTCTCCATCAGCAGCAGTTTTTTTAGAGTCATGTCTCTCATGTCATGGTCTTCTTTCTCCTGCTCCAGCCTGTTTTGTTTTGTTTTTTACTTT